CACATATTTTGCAAATATAAACTTAGAACCTTGGTTTTACCAAAATTAAATGAACCTTATCTTTATTCATGATCATATCAAATAAGTACCTTGGCTCTTTGCTCTCCCCAAACAGGCCTCCTTTTCCTTAAAGCTATTCCATTTTATTTGGCTTAATCTATAGCTAGAGCAAGACTGAAATAATCATCTGTCATCTAAAAAAACCACTTATACGAACGACACTGTGGGAAAAGAGAGAGGCAGTGGCCTGGCACTGATGACGGTCAAACAAGAATTGGGAACTAAACGAATGAGCCCTGAAAGACTAGTAATTTGATAGGAAACTTTCTATAGTAGCTGAGAAAACAATGATACATTACATAAAATTTAATCTTTTATAAGATTTTTGCATTTTAGTTGATAACATTTATATTTTTATCTTCCTACTGTGGTTATAGTTGAATGTGTTATTAATATTATTAGGTGATATAAATAAAATTGACACATTATTTTATGAAAATCTTATTTTATTATTCAAAAACCAAAGAATCATTTAAAATTGTTTGTTAAATTGAAATAGTTCATAAAGATATTTCTTGTTTATTTAATTAGTGATTAATGGAAAAACTTACTGTTATTATATCCAAATAACCTGTTCACCCTACCCTCACCACTCAGTGAACATTAACTCTGCCTAGTATCCCCGTGCTGGGGATACTAAAGTGGCAGAGACTTACAGTTACCTAAGTAAACTAACATATATTTTCAATCCCTTCTTCTCGTGCCTACCTTTCCTAGAGGCTAGAAAGGCTATATATTTGCTTGCTTGCTTTCCTTGCAATCAGAAGTGGTCATATGACATAATTCTGGTCATATGACATAATATGACATCAATATGTAGGTGAAAGAACACTGGAGAGAAGTCTTTTGGGGGAAAGTCTTAGTTTTTCTACATTTAAAAAAAGGAAAAGGAACAGCCAAGGCTAGACACACAGTTTTCCATCATTCTTTTGGTCTTGAAAGAGGATTGAATGTCTGGAATTGCTGCAGTCCTGTTATGACTTTAGGAGGAAGGTAAAGATAATTGAAGTGATCCTGGATTGGATATTGTTGAGCTACTGCACTGTCAGAAGCAGTTGCCTACTACCTGGTTTCTAATGTGAGAAAATAACTCTTTCTGTTTAAGCCACTTCTTATTAGATACTCTGTTACTTGGGGCCACTAGTCATTCTGATGCACTGCCCTAAAAGAGTTCATATTCTGAGAAAAATAGGATCACATGCCCAAAGTAGGTGACAGTGCTTTAAATAAAAAGATATCTCTTTTATCTTATCTAAATTAAGGTATCCCCCTTCCACCCCTTTGCAATATTCTGATTATCAGAGTCTAGCTATTTACTGAAAGAAAGGGCTGGTGATTTCTCAAAGGGCTGGTGGATGAGTTTATGCATAGATGTGTGTTACTTTTGGTTAAAAGATAGGTAATGAATGTATGAATGTGTGTGTGTGTGCATGCATGGGTGTGTGTAGGGTGATAATCCATATAAAATAGTTAATTTCATCAGAGACTTTGTGATACAGTGAACACAATTGGTGCTGCTTCAAGAACCAAGTGACAAAGTATGGCACAGTGGTGGCATCTCTTCTGTAGTTAAGCCCAGCCCAGTTCTAGCTCTTTGGTAGGCAGTTTGGGAATCACTGAGAGATAATCCCTATGACATCAACATTAATTCTGTCACAGAGGGCATAAGAGCAGCAGTAGACATGTCAGAAAACTCTACAGTAAGTGACATTCAGGTATTAAACTTTTAGGAGGTCGAAGTGGAAAAACAAAGATAAAGTTTACAGAGCACATATGAATATCTCTTGAAAAATCCTGGAAATGTTGGAAGTGGTAAGAAATTTTTGGGAGTCTGGAGTTCTTATGAGAGGGTCTCACTCTGTCACCCAGGCTGGAGTGCAGTGGCATCATCACAGATCACAGCAGCCTCTACCTTTCAGGCTGAAGCAATCCTCCCATCTCAGCCTCCCAAGTTGCTGGGACTATAGGTGCACCCCACTACACTTGGATAATTTTTAAATTTTTTTGTAGAGATGGGGTCTACAGACTGTTGCCCAGGCTGATCTCAAACTCCTGGGCTCAAGTGATCCTCCTACTTAGCCTCCCAAAGTGCTGGGTTTACAAGTATGATCCACCTTGCTTGGCCTAAATTTGCATTATGAATATAACTGGAATCTAGTTTGTAGACAAACTGATGGGGTTACGAAGAAGGTGATGTTTGGTTTACAGATACTTTAACTCTTCACCCAATTCAAGTTGCTATTGGTGAAGAGAAGCTTGAAGCTGCTATTGAGAAGACTTTTATCCAATAAAAGTCTTGGATTAAAAGTCCAAGACAGTAGCTCAACAATATCCAACCCAGGACTTTTACCTAACACTTTTATCTAACTTTTAATCCAATTCAAGCTGCTATTAAGAAGACTTTCCCATTAAGAGAACTGGACCAGAGAAAGGAAGATTATTCAAACAAGAAAGAAAGAGAACGCTTATTGAAAGCTGAGTAATTGGAGTATATTCTTTGATTAAAGGCAGTAGAGTTTATACTTCTTCAGGTTCATATTAATGGTATACTGTAATAACCATATCATTAGAAGGGTAAAAAAGTCTCTTTTTTTTCCCTCTCCACACTCCAAGACTTTGTATGCAGTATTAATATCTCTTCATTTTGTAAAAATGAAATTGAATGCTATGGAAAGACTAATCATTGCAATAAATTACTATGGGCAAGAAAACCAGAATAAATTGCAAAAATAAATTTAATGGAAGCATTCTAAACTCATATTGTTTCACAAGTGTCCTCAAGTTATATGTTCCCTTTAACAAAAACTAAAACAAAAAACCGTAGGTTTTGCCTTATGGAAAGTGTTTATGTAAATAAGACAATCTAGAACTCCCAACAGTAGATCCATGGTCAAGAGGCCTTGGCCTAGCATCAAAAGATTAGCTAATGAATGCATAATGGTAGGTTGTTAGTGAAAACACAATGCTTACATCATATGTGTGTAATATTTTATAGTTCTTTAACTTTTTAGAACAGCTGAAGAACTACTTATCCTAACCGATTCAGCGCTCTAAGACAAATTTCCCCTCTTCATGTTGTTGAATGTGGCAAGTTCCCCTTTTAATATGAATATCGTAAGTCTGGGTTTGGCCCTAAACTAACAACTAGTCTCTGTAGATATGACCATTTTCCTCCTAAGTTTTCTACTGGTCATTATAGGGGGAGATGTAAAAAGCAAGACGATCAACTTAAAAAAAATTATTTTCAAGTGATACCTGTTTAAATTAAATGCTCTAATTCCACCTAACAAAGCCCTTAATGATCAATTCTCTTGCACAGCAGCTCACTCCCATCAGACAATATGAAATCACACTCTTTAAGCCAGAAGATAAACTAGAAAGCTTAATTTCTGTCTTGGTCTTCATTTCTGGGAATACTTTTACAAATCAAGATTAGCAGCCATGAACCCTAAGGCAAGTCCCTATGGGTCAGGATTAGAGCATATTCACATTAAATTACTTAGTATATGTTCTAACATGGCTAAGTTTCAAAAAAACAGAAGGGTTATGCTTATTTGCCATATTCCCTTCAACCAAACTGAATAGGCAGTTACATAACTTGCCAGGACAAGTAGTAGAAATGAGTCAGAGACAGGACCAACCCTAGTAAAAATTGTGAATTAGGCAGTTTGACTTCAGTGCCACACCCCTTTAGTACTACATATACTTCCTTCATCCCCTCCCTTGGTATCATTAGCCCCGAGGGCCACCCTCATACCACATACCTCTCCCCCACCAAATTCCTCTCTCTCTCTTCCACTCATCATCGAAACTGTCTTCCCCTCTTTCCCACTTCCCCTTCATTAATTAGAATGTGCAGCTCCAGTATCTCTCTCCCTCAGGGTTTAAAATGACAACTAACTAATCTGATAAACTAATCCACATTAAGGTGTGAAGAGAGAAAGCTAGAAAATAAAATGAATTTTAACTATGACTTTCTAAAGATAACACCTTTGCAGTTTAACTCATTAATGACTAAAAGTGAGAATTTCTAGCCAATAAATTTAGGCGAGGGAAATGTTTTGGTTCAGGTAGAGCCTTGAAGCACCTGGAAAATCCAATAAGAATAGATGGTTGCTTTTATGGTGTAGCCAGCTCTACTAAGCATAACTAAGTAGCCCTGGTCAGTTTGGGGCCAGTAGGGGAAAACTGGAAATGGGCTAAATATACAAAAGAAGTTCATTTGCAAAGAAAAGTGGAAGTTACAGGAGCACCACAATTAAATTTTTCTGTCTTAGTATTTCATAGATCTAGCGAGTCCTGGTGCCTGTAAATATTTTCCAAAGTTTCTCTTCAGAATGAAAAAATTATGTCCAAAAATTATCTCAAGCCTAAAATATTCAGTAATTCCCAAAACCTGTAAAGCTTTTTGTTGTTTGGCTTTAAAAAAAATAGTGAACTAAAGCTTACAGTTTTCATGCATATATTGTATTTGCTCCTGCTGAATATTGAAAAAACAGTACAGGCTATTGTGTGGAACATATTCGCTACTCTTATTTCCTTCACTTTGTAAATGAGGAAGATACTGGGCAACAGAGCGAGACTCTGTCTCAAAAAAAAAAAAAAAAAAAAAATTAAGTGACTTTCCAAGATTTGTACTTAGGTTTTCTGAGTGCAAACGCTGTGTTCTTTTCAATGTACTTTGTCCCAGTGTTTAGTTATCTATGTCATTTCAGTCATGTGACTCTGCATCCTAGGGGAATTCTCAAATTTTAAAGAGGGTTCAGCTACTACCAAAAGAAAATAACTTGTGTATTCAATGGACCTGAAGGTAATTGTAGTCCTATCTGGTTTCCATCACTGCATTTTTTTCCCCTAGCTAATTCTTGGTTCACTTGAAAGTGTTAGCATTGCCTCACAAAGTCTTCCTTAAGCACTGTCAGAGTCTGTGCTTCAATTACCTGCTCATGTTTTGGTGGATTACTTATCGCGCTTCTGCTTCTCACCTGGGCAACGTTCCCATCACAGCTCTTATTCTGTAAGCAAGAAAGGATAATATGCTTCTGGGCTTAAAGTAGGGAAAAACACTAACATAGTTGGCAAGTCAGAATACAAATATTGCACATTGAGATGAACACAAGAAGCCAGCTGGGAAAACACTGCTATTTACAGATTTAGATTAGCCCAGAATTCATTTCAGCCTTTGAGGTAAAAGGTGGCATTTAAAAATCACTGGCATTTAAAACACACACTCTTAACACTTTGGAGAGATATAGACCCCTTTGTGAATTTGTCAAAAAATTATGGATGAAGCTGGGTGTGGTGACGCATGCCTCTACTCCCAGTTACTTGGTAGGCTGAGGCTGTAGATTCATTTCAGCCCAGGAGTTTGAGGCCACCACACAGTATGACTGTGCCTGTGAACAGCCACTGCACTCCAGCCTGAGCAAGAGAACAAGACCCATCTTTTAAAAGGAGAAAAAAAAGTATGGACATTTTCCCTAGAAAAAAGCACCATCACACAAACCTGGAATAGTCTGGGGGGTCCATTATGTGGTTGTTCATGGGTCCAACATAAAATATTCTTGATTTAGAGTGTGTCATGAGTACAGTCCCTAAGTGATGAACAACCTGAGGCCCCATATGCCATTAAAAGCCCAATATTTGTTATGGCCAGTTTTCTAATTTCCTTAGTAGGAGTAGCAATAATTGATGTGGATCTTTTATAACAAAAGTAACATATGCTTGCTGTAAAGATTTTTTTTTAATTTCAGAAATGCAATGTTTTCTGTAATTATAATCCTCAAACATTGTTAACAGAAAAATATCTCCATGTGTATTTATAGATATAGGTATTTTTAAACAGAAATCAGATCATACTATATGGCAACTTGATTCCGTTGCTAGATCATATATATTGGTTTACCAGGGTTTAATCATTCTGTTAGTATGGACATTTATTTTGTTTTTGATTTTATAACTATCAACAATAAGGCAATGAATATCCTTGATCGTATATCTGGTCATGTATATAAATATATATAGGATACATTTCTGAAGTAGAATAAATTACAGGATATAAACATAAATTGTGAAAGACATTGAAATTGTATTTCCAAATGGAACAAAGTAACATGATCTTTCTATTACTTACAGAAACTTTTTATTATATTTTATGTAGTAAAATGTACAAATTCTTTTAAGTTTTTGGTTTTTATCACGTGTGGAAACAAGACTCAAATGCTCTAAATGAATTCACTCATACCTCCTTCTAGTATGTTATGACTCAGATTTTTATATGGAAATCTAAATGTTATTAAACAGAAAAGAGCTTAGAAGTAGACCCTAGAACATACAGGAATTTGTATATGATACAGAGAGGATTTCGTTTCTGTGGGGGTAAAGCTGAATTATTAGGTAAAGATGTGGGGACAACTGGGTCGCTGCTGCTATCACCAAAATAAATTCCATATGGATGAAAAAATATAATGTGAAAAACAGCCATAAAACTTTTAAAAGAAAATATGGGAGAATATTTTTGGTAACAACAACAACAACAAAAATGGCTTGTAAGCATAGAAAAAATCCTCAAATAGAATCGAAAATTATACCTGTAATGAGATATCAATTTATATCTATTAGACTGGGAAAGATAAAAACAGTTTGATAATGCTGTATTGGTGAAGATGTGGGGAAACATGGTGTGCTACCAAACTTTCCATCTTTGTTAGGATGACTGGAACTTGTATCACTTATCTGGAAGGCAGCCTGGTTTTGTCTATCAAAATGTAAAACGTGGGTGGGCACGATGGCCCACGCCTGTAATCCCAGCACTTTGGGAGGCCGAGGCGGGTGGATCACCTAAGGTCAGGAGTTGGAGACCAGCCTGGCCAGCACAGTAAAACCTCATCTCTACTAAAAATACAAAAATTAGCCAGGCGTGGTGGCTCGCGCCTGTAATCCCAGCTACATGGGAGACTGAGACAGGAGAATCGCTTGAACCCGGGAGGCGAGGTTGTAGTGGGCGGAGATTGCGTCACTGCACTCCAGCCTGGGCGACAAGAGCAAATCAGGAGGTCAGGAGATCGAGACCATCTTGACTAACACGGTGAAACCCCGTCTCTACTAAAACAAAAAAACTTAGCCGGGCGAGGTGGCGGGCGCCTGTAGTCCCAGCTACTCGGGAGGCTGAGGCAGGAGAATGGCGTGAACCCAGGAGGCGGAGCTTGCAGTGAGCTGAGATCCGGCCACTGCACTCCAGCCTGGGCGACAGAGCGAGACTCCGTCTCAAAAGAAAAAAAAAAAAAAAAAGGAAAATGTTCTTTAACCCAGCAATTTTACTTCTAGAAGCTAAACCTACAGATGTACACTACATGTAAGCCAGAATCGGATACAAAGAGACATATTTCAACTTGAAACCTCGTCTCCACTAAAAATACAAAAAATCAGCTGGGCGTGGTGGCAGGCGCCTGTAGTCCCAGCTACTCGGGAGGCTGAGGCAGAAGAATGGTGTGAACCCGGGAGGCGGAGCTTACAGTGAGCCGAGATCAGGCCACTGCACTCCAGTCTGGGCGACAGAGCGGGACTCCATCTCAAAAAAAAAAAAAAAAAAAGGAATAGCAAAGGCTTGGAAATAACGTATATACTCGTTGAAAAGTGAGGAGGTAAATCATGCTACATCTAAGCAACAGAATACTACACAGCCTTTCAAAAGAACTAGGCTCATCTAAAGCATCTGATAATAGAAATAACAGCTGGGAAGCTAAAGTCAAACAAATAGATATTATGAAGTTTAAAAAATCAATATATTAGATGAGTAATATCCTTTGGAAAAGGATATTTAGGTGTGTGTGTCTGAAAAGATACACAAGAAATAACTAGGTTTCTCAACACTGTAACCTGAATGATACACATCATCCTGCCCTTTACCTGTACCTAGTTGACTGCTTGAGTCTGCTGCTAATCATTCTAATTTATAATTTATTTTAATAGTTTTTATGTAACTCCCACTCATTTATTTTCTTTTCAAGACTCTTCTTATTTTTGAATGGTACTCTTCCAAATGAATATTTAAATTATTTTATCAAATTCCTAAAAGTATTCTGTTGGACATTTGATTAGAATTATACTGGATAGGCCGGGTGTGGTGGTTCACACCTGTAATCCCAGCAGTATGGGAGGCCAAGGAGGGAGGATTGCTTGAGCCCAGGAGTTTGAGACTAATCTGGGCAACATAGCAAGACCCCTCTCTACAAAACTTTTTTTAAAAATTAGCTGGGCATGGTGGTGTGCACCTGTAGTCCCAGCTACTTAGGAGGCTGAGGCAGGAGGATAGCTTGAGCATAGGAGGTCGAGGCTGCAGTGAGCTGTGACTGCACTACTGCACTCCAGCCTGGGTAATAGAGCAAGACCCTGTCTCAAAAAAACCAACAACAGAAAAACCAAAAGAATTATACCTGATATATAATTTACTTTTAAAAGATAATTATACATTGTTTCAACTTCGGTATTTAAAAGTATATTTCTTTTTTATTTCAAACATTGTTATTTGTCATAAGTCTGTCATGATTCTAAAATTTTTTTTAGAGATGGGATCTTGCTGTGTTGCCCAGGCTAGCATGCAGTGGCTATTCATAGGCACAATCATAGTCCACTACAAATTATATCATTTTTAAAGTACGTCTTATAACTTTTGTTTATATTTTACTTTATTTATTTATTTATTTATTTTAAATAAATATGGGGTTTTACTATGTTGCCCAGGCTGGTCTTGAATTCCTGGGCTCAAACAACCCTCCTGTTTCAGCCTTCTAAAGTGCTAGGATTACAGGTATGAGCCACCATGCCCAGCCAGTTTTATAAATTTATTTTAGTGTTTATTTTTAGCTACTTAAATTTTTGCGGCTACTGTAAGTGGGACGGATTCTTTTTATATTGTATTTTCAAATTGGTTATGATAATACATGAGAAAGTTCTTTTCGTATGTTTTTATTATATTATTATTATTGTTATTGTTATTTTTGAGGCAGGATCTCACTCTGTTGCCCAGGCTGTAGTGCAGTGGTGTGATCATGGCTCACTTCAGCCCCAACATCCTGGCCTCAAGCAATGTTCCCACCTCAGCCTCCAGAGTACCTGGGACTACAGGTGCATCCCACCATGCTTGGCTAATTTTTTTATTATTTATAGAGAAAGGGTTTCACCATGTTGCCCAGACTGGTATTGAACTCCTGGGCTCAAGTGATCTGTCCACTTCGGCCTCCTAGAGTGTTGGAATTACAGGCATAAGCCACTGTGCCCCACTCCCTGTATGCTAATTTTATAACTAGTTATCTTAATTCATCTTTTGTTGCCTCTAAGAGTTTTTCAGCTGATGCTTTGGAGTTTTCATATTATTTGCAAACAAATGACAATCCTGACTTATTTACAGTACTTAATTTCTTACTTCTATTTTATATCTAATTGCATTGGCTATCATTTCTATTGTTACAATGTGATAGTGAACATTCTTGCCTGTACTTGACTTCAATAGGAATAATTACAATGTTATGTTATAAAGGAAGTTGCTGGCTTTAGTATACCACATATATATTTAAATTATTCCAAAATCTAATTTTTATTGGGAATGATGCTGGACTTTACAAAATCCTTTTCAGCGTCAACTGAGATCCTCATAATGTTTTCCTCCTTTGACTTATTAATATAATCAAGCATATGAGAAAATTTTCTATTCTTGGACTATTGCCATACTATATACATGAAATAATTTCTCTTAATTTTGGTATATCATTTGTAATGTAGTGTTGGGTTCCATTTGTTAGTAGTGACTTACATTATATCCAAAAGGAATTTAACCTGTAGACTTCCCTTGTGTGTACTTTTTATCAGATTGTATTTTAAAACCAGTCTTTCAGCTCATCCAAAACAGAGGGATTACTGGTGAAAATGCCTTGAAGGCAACCACCTGAAATGGCCTTAATGCAAATAAATAAATAAATGAGAAGAGAAAGAAAAGGAAAAAAGCTAACAACACTGTGGTTTGTCTACTTTGTGGAAATTTACAACACTATACTTGCTATACCTTCTTTCTGATGTGAATTCACAATCTATTGCAGCCATTAATTAAGGATATTGCTTTTCTTTCCAATAAATACATGAGCTTTCTTTCAGAGGCAAACAGAGGCAGATGTTTCATGAAAGTTTCTGTTCTTCCCAACCTGCCTTTCCCACCTCCCTAAGAGATGAACCAGAACATTTAAAAATGGGGGAAGAATTCATTCACTTGTGTCTGCAGTCCAGGGAGCCTGGCCTGTTATTTACTTTCACCACTCATCCCTGCTGCTGCTCCTTAGTTTTTGTTGTTACCCTCAACTGACTTTCCTCATCTTTGCTGCATTCATCAAAGCCCAGGGTAAATTCCCCTCTTCCATAAACTGAGGAATCTAGCCCATTTTACATAGCGGACTTTCTCTTACCTGCTACCTACTCAAAGTTTGGCTGCACATTTTAGCTATTATTATTCTCAAATTGTTTCAAGAGTGCTAGTTTTCTTTCTTAGGCCCCAGGTTAGCTCCTTGGGAGCAGGGACTTAATCTTAAAATTCTGCTGTGCATTTTCCGTTGTGTTTAGCCCTGTGAGTAATCACATTCAATGCATACTTGCGAGGCATATTTGACTGAAGATATCTATCATAGTTATTCATTTAGTAAATGATATAATGAAAACACAAGTGCTCGCCAAAGATAAATCATTACTATTAATTCCCTCATTTATCATACATGTATGGCAGCCTCAGGGACTAGGGAACGTAGGATTGCTGCTTTGACTTTCTTGGGGAAGCCAAATAAGCCTCAGATCCCTCCACTTTGGAGCCAGGCATGAAATTCAGATTTACCTAGGGCTCAACATTAACGGTCTCAGACTAAATTTATCTTCAGGTACCCTTTCCAGACTGGACCAGTTTACCTTATACCTCTGAGAATAAACCAAAACTTTCAAAACTCAAATCACAGGATATTATTTGTTCATGAATTCAGCAAGACTCTCTTGTTTAACTATTGAAACTCAAATATTTCGGCTTGCAGCAAGGAGGGGTATAGCTGTCTGGATATACCTTGGCCAAGTTTTAGTGTATACAAAAAAGCTGGAAGTTATCGACTATGTTAAACCTTTTCCTTAAATTTTCAAACTTCGGGATTATTTTAGTCTCACAGAGAAAATAACAAGGCAAGTATTTACAAACTTTTTTCAAAAATATGAGAATTTGAGTTTTCCCTAGGGCATTTGGCGTTGTGCTGTCACCACACCTTTGAAGATCGCTTTACAACCGTGGGAAAACTCACCGGGTTTTTTTCGTTGACCTCGCCATTTCTAAGTTGCTGTATTGCTGCAGGGAGCTGGCAAAGCCACGCTCTTCCTCTCCCCCATTCTCCTCATCCTTTCAAAGTCCAAAGCTCCCGGTGAGAATATAGAAACAAGGCTGCGAGGCAGCGAAGGGTAAGGGAGGAGCCAGCACTTATGCATTTTTCACTCTCCTCCTCACTCCCTAGGGTCATGAAGTTCTGTTTCTGAAGTTAGAAGTGTGGGGGCCGTCGGCTGCATTTTCAACTTGGCCTAAAAGTTGGAGTTCACACTACAGGCGCTAGGAACTTTGCCGCTTGGTCACCAACCTGAGCCTCCGGCTAGTCCGAAGAACGCGAAAAGCCAGGCCCAAGGCACCGGTTGTCATGGCAACCGGGGCGCTGGTCTCCCCGGCGACCTCGTCCCTAGGGAGGAGGCGGAGCTGGAGGCCAGGCGAGCCAATGAGGTCGAGGGGAGTTCGGGGTCGGACATCTGCGGTCCTCCCAGAGCCGGGGAATGGTTGAGTGACAGGACCGGGGGGGGCGGAGCCGGCGCGGCTGCCCGAGGTGGAGCCCGAGTAGTGCGAGTAGCTCCGGCGGCCGCGCTGAGGCGAGGGTGACACACCATGCTCACGGTCCCTAGAGACCGTCGTGCTGGCGAGCCGCGCTCCGTAGCTCCCCGGTCCGCCTCGGCAGCGGTCAGAGTCGCCTACAGGAGTTGAGCTGCCCGCGCCGGAAGGTTCTGGCGAAGCTCTTGGAGGGGCGTCGAGCACAGTAGGGCGGCTGGGGTGCGTTGAGCGCTCGGGGGTCCGGCAGTCGGCTGGGATCGCCGCTGGAGGGGCGTTTCCGAGGCAAGGAGGAGGAGGAGGAGATGCTGGTCCTCTTCTCCCCCTCCCTAGGCTCCTTCTCCAGCTCCTTCAGCCCACGCCCGCAGCCGCTTGTGGGAGAAGAGGTGGTGGCTCTCGGCGCCCGCGGCGGCTGCCGGCGGCCCGCCCCGACGCCGCGTCCCCGCAGCCCTAGCCCGGCGCTCCAGTAGCAGGACCTGGTCTCGGGACCAGCCGGTAAGGAAGAGAGCCGCCCTGGGCTCTGCGCTGCATGTGCAGAAGTGCAAAACAAAGTACATTGCGCTAGCTCTCTTCCTCCTGTCTCTGCTTTTGCTCCAGTCCCTAAACCCAACTCCTCTGTTGCCCTGGTAGAAGGAACTTTTCTTTGGTTGTGGTGGTGGGGTGTTTTTGTACGTTAGAGTGGGGGTGGGGTGACTGGAGTGGGGGAGAATGAGATGAAACTCCATTGCGGAGTAGGTAGATCCATCTCCTCAGCGGAAGAAAGCCGGATCTCGGGCACGAAACCCACAGGGGGAGTACGAGATTGTGGGGTAACAGGGAATGACATTGCCCCGTCGTGCTTGCACAGCTCCGCTCTGTGCGTGCTTAAGGGAAGGGCTCCCGGAGTCTGTTTCTAATTTCTGCAAATGATTGTGGAGATGGTGTGGTTAGAGGCCGCCCAGAAGAATGTGTATGTGTAAGGGCTCGAGAAGGGGGTGGGATGGCGGGGAAGCGGAGGAAGAGGGGGCAGAGAGAGAGAGAGAGAGAGACACTGTCTGATGCAAGCTCTTTTACTGCTTTTCTTCTGCTCGCTAAAATTAACACTCTACCCTCCGGGCCCGTAGCCCCGCCGTTTTGCTCATTACGTGATACTGTAAGAGCAGACAGCTGGGAAGCTAAAGTTAAACCAAAGTCAAGAAAATTCTTAAAAAGTTTAATTTCCTTGTGTTGTGAATATAATGGAGAGAGGAAGATGGGGAGAAATATCACTAAGAGATTTACAGCAATAGAGTTTTCATTGGCCATACACGTATATGATCGACACCACCGCACACTTCCAACTAATCTATTCGACAGCCTTGTGTCATTTTCATTTAATTGCATCTTTGAAACAACAAACGCGGTGACTTCATAGGGAGCTGCCTGGAGCTGAGCTCCCTCTCAGAAAATGGGGCAATCGGGTTTGTTTTCAAGGCAGGACCTGAACAAAATGTAGGACACCTGATCTGTGGGATGAAGGGCGCTGGTAACTAATTATAAATTTTAAGATTTTAAAATTTATATCTAGAAAGTTTACTAAAGGATGGGGGGAAAAAAGTAAAAGTGGATGTATTATGAAACAAGCTTTGGTATTTTCCCAAAGTCTTGATGACTGTGTTGGCAGCGTCCAGGTGAAAACTTGCTTCATGCTCATTGGCTGCTTGTAATGGTGCCAAGATACAAATTATTTCTAGCTTTAATATCGCTAGGAGCATTTTTTAGTAAATTCATACATACATTGATTTAGTAAATTTATACAGAGGCTCATTGATGTCCAATCTTGTTTATTATACTTTGTTCATAACATTGTGTTCTACTTGATGTTCTAGAGGCTTTGTGGGAGTATGTGTGGGGAGAGGATAGGATGGAAATTAGAACTAAAAATAGAAAAATATTTGAGGTTAGTTGTTAAGAAAAGGTCTGATTTCATAGTATTTTTCACTTTTACAATTAGAGAATTATAGCTTGCTTTACCATTATGTAGGTTTATCTTTGAATTTACATTTGTCTCACCATTTTTACTTGCATGTTAAGCCTACTTATATTTTTAAGGGTGATTACCAGCATCCAAAAATATAAATGGTTTTTCATGTCACAAGTTACATACACGCACACCATTAAAACCAGTGTCAATTTAAAAGTCAGATTTTAATACTATGATAGGGGTCACGTTATAAAACTTAAATTATCTTTTTGTTGTTGTTTTTGAGGGCTGCCTCCTAAATACAGTATGTGAATGTGGGAATTAGCTAATCATTTGTTTTGGAGTAGAAGATGGTAGGTGATCATCTTTGAATGAATGAAATTTATGTATTCTTCGTTATTGAGAAAAACAGGTGTTGATTTGTTCTGTCTTTAATATGTTAAGGGTTGGATGGAGAAGTGTTGTAGCTTCTCCCATGTCAATTGAGTGTATGTTTTTCCAGCTCATCTTAGTGCTCAGCCCCAAATGTACTGGAGAGAAGGACTATAAGGGATAAACTATGACTTCTTTCTTTTTCCTCTTCACCCTCTTCTTTTGACAGAGGGTGTAATTTTTAAATAAACCCCAAAACATTTTTATGTATAATTAAATTATAATTAACACCATTTGAAATGGAAAAGACACACAACCATACTCCAAGCCAGTGCATTTAGTAGTTACTCCTGTCAACATATACTTGTTTTGGAATATGCTTTGAGAGAACTCTGTGTGGTTAAAAGTGTTCTCCCATTGGCCTCTGATGCAACCAAGTATGACTCATTTGAGTATCACTTTACAAGGTAGGGGCCTGAAAAAGGAGAATAGATAATGGGTCTCAGGATAGAAGAATCAGTGCTGATGGGAATGATAAGAATTTTTTGGTCTGGACTTCTTTTTTTTTTTTTTATCCCAGAAAAACTCTTTTTTAATTTGAAAATTAAAATGAGTCAAACAACTCAGGAACTAAACTTTTTAGAGATAGCTTTTAAGATAGGGTCTCTCTCTGTTGCTCAGTTTGGAATCATGGCTCACTGCTGCCTCAGCTTCCCAGGCTCAAGCAATCCTCCCAACTCAGCCCCCAAAGTAGCTGGTACCACAGGTGTACACCACCACACCCAGCTAATTTTATTTTATTTGTTTTAAATAGAGACAAGGTCTCGCTGTGTTGACCAAGGCTAAAAGATAGCTTTTAATGAGTACATTAATGTAGGACTTTTGACGGCTTAATTTAAAGTTGAAAGTTTCTTTTTTTTTTTTTGTTTGAGATGGAGTCTGGCTCTGTCGCCCAGGCTGGAGTGCAGTGGCGCAATCCCGGCTCACTGCAAGCTCCGCCTCCCGGGTTCACGCCATTCTCTTGCCTTGGCCTCCCGAGTAGCTGGGACTACAGGCGCCCGCCACCACGCCCGGATATTTTTTTGTATTTTTAGTAGAGACGGGGTTTCACCGTGTTAGCCAGGATGGTCTCGATCTCCTGACCTCGTGATCCACCCACCTCAGCCTCCCAAAGTGCTGGGATTACAGGTGTGAGCCACCGTGCCCAACCAAAAGTTTCATACTAGCTGTAAATGTCCCATCAAAGCTCCGTCTGTAAACTGCTTTGGGAGATGGAATTCTAATAATCCTTTGAGTTTGGGGAGAAAATGAAAACATCTTTAAGACCATTATTCTTGTTTAGTGTCAGGCACTGTGACTAAGCACCCTGCTCTATCCTGCCCAACCCTGTTCCCAAGAATGTGTGACTGTCATTAGTAGTAAGGCAGTAGGTGGGCCATTGGTTAATTTCTCAGGATAAAAAGATAGCAATTCCTACATAATCTTGTATAGAGTTAAACCATAAACTTCACATGTTTTTTTCCAGATAAACTTCACATGTTTTTTCCAAATGCATAGGAAATACAGGAATAGAGTCTGGTTTAAGTGCTTGTTTAGATGTGTTTGCCTTATCCTGTGCTCTGCCATTGAATCCTGCTTTTTTAATTTTTGTTTTGTTTTGATTTGTTTTCACACTGGAAAAGTATGAAAATTCTCTGAAACAAACTGTCTCAAAGAAAATCCTTCTGCCATAGTATAAAGAGTGTGGAGGACTCTGCTGTCTGACGAATATGTGTCCAAATCCTAGAGACTATTAAAGTTTATTTTTAATAATTTAATAATATATACCTCTCAAGTCTTTTTTATTTTGTTGTGTGTGTGTGTGTTTTCTTTTTTTTTGAGATGGAATCTCACTCTGTCGCGCAGGCTGGAGTGCAGTGGCGCAATCTCAGCTCACTGCAATCTCTGCCCCCAATCCTGGGTTCAAGCAATTCTCCTGCCTCAGCCTCCCTAGTAAGCTGGGATTACAGGCATGCGCTACCATGCCTGGCTAATTTCTGTACTTTTAGTAGAGACGGGGTTTTGCCATGTTGGCCAGGCTGGTCTTGAACTCCTGACCTCAAGTGATCCGCCCACCTCAGCCTCTCAAAGTGCAAGGATTACAGGTGTGAGCCACCATGCCTGGTCCCTCTCAAGGGTATTTTGAGGGTGAAATTAATATATGCAAACGTGGTTTAAGTGCAAGCTAACACTCAATATTTAGGTTGCTTGCTTCCTTGCAGATTTTCTTTAAAAAATTAAAATTAAATAATCACAAACACGTATGACTACTCAAATCATTCTTGAATGTGTAACTTGAATCTGGCTGGGCAAAAGGCCCTCTTTACCTACTAACCAATAAATGTCTTTGGTTGCATACTTCATCTATGCTTAATAAACAGTTTCTTTCTTTCTTTTTCTTTTTTCTTTTTTTCTAGT